ACCTACTAATATTAACCGCACGACGACGTTGATTGGTTTCGTTAAACGCACAACCTCACACCAAGTAGAAATGTGATACGAGTACTTTTAGATTCTGAGCAAAGCGAGGACATTTTTCGATATTCCAAGCGGTTTTCATAATAATTGGGGTAAAACGGAAAAATTTGTGAAATGTTTTTTTTTTTTTTTTTTTGTGATTTGGTTAAAAATATTCACAGAGACAATACAATTTCGACAGAAAACTTATATTTGCATTTTGTATACGTGGTAAAATTTTCAAAAAATTTTAATAAATATAATATAATAATTTAACAATATTGGTTAAACAGTGAACAATAGGCTGAGGTTAGTAGAACAAGGAAGACGAAACGTGGGCATTTCTATAAGAAAGTTGGTAAGACACCGAGGATTTGGACAAAAAAGAAGGCGAACCAAGGAACTTTAGAATGTAAAATATTTTATTATCGAGCAATGAAGGAATAGGCATCAATTTAATTGGATAATATAGGAGAGGAAGCGTTTGGTTTGCCAAAAGCCTCAGCCCTTTCGGCGTTCAGTGATACATAAATACTACAATAATAATCAATATTTACGCATATTATATACGTATCGTTAGCTTTTTTACTTTTTCCATCATATGTAAGAAGTTTAAAGTTTTTATAAATATTTTATTATTCGCGTATAGAAAGAATAGTTGCCATTGAAGATGCATAACCACGAATAACTAACCGCGAGAATCGGAAATGGATATAGGTAGTTCAAAGATCACGATTTCCAGTCGTGATTGTAGTAAATATTATTACACAAACTGTGTTGCACCCGCGAGGGATAAATTTTCATTGCATTTTTTTTTATCGCGGAAACGAATTCCTTCTTATTAGATATTTATTATTGAAGAACTATTATACAATTACATTGTAAAAACATTTTAAGTATCTACAAAAAGGTTAATGCGCGTAGACGTCAAAAATACTGCACCTGACTAACCGAATGGTAATTGTTTTCTTTGAGAAATTAATCGAGAGAGAGAGCGTCGGCTGTGAAATAAAATTGTCAAACGTCAACCAGAAAATTGAAACGTTTACATTACGATAAACGTTCAATGTTTCACAATATTGGGAGAGTTAAACAAAATATATTTATTATAGTATAGTTTTATTGGTTTATGTACGGTAGGTATAACAGTGGTAACGTGTGCACATATTTTAATCAAGTATTTTCACGAGATGTGTGCTAGAACGCTTGCGAGACGAATGTGTCTACACGTTAAACAATTAAGTGCGCATTATGTGCGGGTACTATAATGGTACCAAAACTCAGAAGTACTTATATATTATAAACAGTGGCGGTTATAATTGAAATCTGGGAAGAGGGGAGGAAATTAGTTGACGTTTCAAAATCTCCCACCCAACAAAAAAAAAAAAAACGTTAAGTTCAAAAGGACATACCATTTATTCGATTCTGAACGTAGCGACAAATCTATTCGTTTTACTATGATGTATTTTTTTCCGGCTATAAAAATTTTTTTACCAGAAATCTTATTCCGATTTTATTCAGCGAACCATAATTTCTGAAAGAAAAATGTAACGACTTGTGTATTAAGAAGGTAAGGTCCTTGTAGGTTTCCTAATAATTGGGATTAACGTAGGAAAAAAGGGAAAAATTACACGTCCGTAAAGTGTCATAGGGACTCTAAAGCTGTGTCAATATTTAACAACCTTTGTGCAACTTTTAGCAACCAACATAAAAAAATGTACAACCTACGCCTTCGTTAGTCAAAATTGACATTTTAAAACCGATGAGGATCCAAGACAAAGTTACAAATTGTTTCAAGTAGGTTGCTATGAGTTGCTAAATATTGTTTCGAGTCAAAGTCGATAGGACAGAGTCAAGGGAATACGTATAGTTAACCCCCCCGTTTTGTCGGAGATATTTTGATATTAATCATTATTATTGATAAATATAAATTATTTAACTCTATGTATCTTACCTTCCTACCTCTCCATATACACAACTAGTAAATCCGTCAGCAGTATCAACTATTCTTTTTATATTTAAATGAGAACACAAATAACTAATTTATAACATATTTAATCCATATCGCGTGGAACCATAAATAATATAACTACCTAATTCTTGTAGTAATTAATAGTAGCTGTTGAAATATTGAATATTATATAATTTCAATGCAATATACAATAAACAATTCTGCAATAAATCTGTTTAGTTTATAATATAATATCTAATCCTTATAGATTGTAATCTGAAATCCATTATCTCATCACGTTTTTATATAACTTAGTCATTTGAGTATAAAAAATTCGGACATACTTCGCACGATGGGTGGGCCATTTTTGTAGATGAGAAGTTGGGAAGGTTGTATACCTGTGCGCAACGATTGCACACGAAAAACTCCTGAGCGGAGTTCGGTTATACATGTTTAAAAGGCCGTAATATTTACGATTTTCGTCAAAATTTGATATTAAAATTCTTAAAAAGAAAAAAATATATATTACATTACACTCAACTTTTTTTTGTTGGCCATTAAGTACAACGTTTAATGGATCTTCTGTTAAATTTTCAAGCATTTCTGTTTGGTTAAACAATTTTATCCACAGAATACCAAATAAAAATTATATAAAAACTGGCAAAATTAAAATGTCTCTAAATAGCTCAACAATTTGAAAATTTTACCAAGTCTATAAAAGGAAAATATAAGGTTTCTGTCAATATTTCAATTCTCTACGAATATTTTCACTGAATTACAACAAAAAAACAAATTTTAAATAATAAAAGCATTATTTTTCTACATTTTCCCGTTTTTTTCCCATTTACTATGAAAACCACGAGAAAACCAAAAAAATGACTTATTTAAAGTACCACTCCAAGAAAATTTCCTTTCAAAAAAAGTGCTATACTTAAAAATTGGATAAACATTTCTAGTAGAATTTTCGTTCATAGTATAAAAAAAAATAATAATAAATATCAATGTAAAGCCAATAGATTCCTTGCTCCACTCAGAATCTAAAAATCTGTTATGTAATAACAGATAAATTAAAAAAAAAGGTAATTACCATATTGTTAAATATTCAAATGTATAAATCAAACACATAAAATCATAATAATTAGAGAGACTATTTTAATGTTAATTGCGCATTTTACGTAAATGAAATCGATAATAGGTACAAGTATATATCCACTATTACACATAACTAACGGATTAACTTTAAAATATACATCTATTACAATCATTTACGATAAATACGTAAAATATGCAAACGACTCTTTAATTATGATTTTATACAAGTATTTATTGTATAAATTTGAATACCTAATTTTATGATACGTGCATTTATCTGCTATTTTCTATATTATTACATAACATATTATACATTTGAGATTCGGAGCCAAACGTAATTTTATCTAGATGTTGCATTGAGTATAGTCATTTTGTGATTTTTCAAAAACCGAAATCTCAATTATAAGTAATCCGCAAATATTTACGGAGTACCGCGACGTTACCGAATTTATTATTTTTAATAATTTTTACGCACGAAGTTTTCTACTATAGCAATATTACTCCAATAAAAAACTACCTCTCTTGTTGCATTTCGTGAATAAGCAAGTAGTACTTGATTTTCTACGTATTTTTTTTAGTGGTTAAGCAAACCGAAAAGAAAAGTAGAAAAAAAGGGAAAATTTCTGAAAATAATGGTTTTATTTTCAATTTTGTATTTTTGTTGTATGTATTCAGTTAAAAATATTCATAGAAACTTAAAAATTTGACAGAAAATTTATATTTTACCTTTCTAGATGTGGTTAAATTTTCAATTTTTTTTTTTTATGTAATTTTTATTTGGTACTCTGTGGATAAAAATTGTTGGACCAAACAGAAATGCTTGATGATTTAACATGAGGTTCGTTATAAGTTGAATTTAGTGGTCAAAAATAAAAATTCGAGTTTAATGTAGTATTTTTATTATTATTATTTTTTTTTTTGTATGTTTTAATATCAAATTTTGACGAAAATCGTAAATATTACGATCTTTCAAAACATGCATAACCGAACTTCGGTTTTCGTTATCAATGATTTATCGTTGCTTATACAGATATAAATTCAATAACATTGTGTATTCTACCTCCCCATCTGCCCACCTACAACAGTGGCACACCCGTCTCCAGTATTAGCTTTTTTATACCCAAATCGTATAAAATCTAGTCGTAATAGAGGCTAACAGATTTCAGATTTTTCTTCAGCATGTCAAAATGTATATGCGTGGTGTACGCAAACAATAAAAAAAAAAACCAACATATTTCGTAAGACTGCAGTCCATTAATGTTCAGTTTTACGTTTTCCGCCTGTTTTTCTCAATCATAGAGAATACTACGAGGAAAAATCAAAAAATGACCTCTGGAATGCATCGATTAAACAAAATTTGCTTACCAGTAACCACCCTTGAAGATGACTGACTGGAACAAAATTTCTGGTAAAAAAGTTGTTGATAGACACACACATCGTTCGTACCATTACATTTCTTGCTACACTCGAAATCTAAAAAAATATTACGGACGACCTTAATTAGAAATGTGAGGAAAACTTTAGAAATTAGAGAATTGCGTCTACATTTGATAAGTTTTATCTTCCCGGTCTTTTCGTATGTAATAATAATGTCTATAATCACACATTTTGTATCTTTCATGTTTATGGTATCTATTTCATTTTGTGTTATCTCTGACCGTGATACAAAACCATAGACTTTTGGCGGGTTCCACAGACTCATGGCTAAACATGTGGTTTTGATAAGCATTATCCAATGAACGTCCAAATAAACCACAGTTACCACCGATAAACAAAGCGGAAAGTGGGAAACCGATAACACTACAAATTACAATCTATGTTAGTTCTTACGTTTATGATTTTCGAAATTGTTAATTTATTTCTTTTTTGAAATTACCGAGAAATTACCTATTTATGAACGTCATTTTGTATAAACATTTTAATATACTATTGACGTTGGTGTATGTGTGTATAAAAAGCCAATTAATCAACCACGGCTTAATATAATATTATAATAAATTATTTTCTGTTTTGACTTTTTGTCTGACTATTGTACAAATTATTTTCGCTTTCGGTATGGAGAATAATATGTCGTTATCTGAATATTCCAAGGAACCCGACAGAACCACAGACGTGCAAACCCTCAAAGAGATGCCTTTCAGCGCGTTCGTGGCCAATCCGAAAATATTGAATGGTTTGTCTGATAGCGGATTCACAATCGCTTCTCCAATACAAGTCACTGCTCTACCTACAGTTATTACCGGAAATGGTAAATTTCCATTTAAAAATGGCACTTTATAATTGATATGTAGTATGTGACTTAATGTACTTACATTATTTCAATTCTTACAGACACTGTAATTGAAGCCAAAAACGGAACTGGAAAAACGTTGACATTTGTCATACCTACTCTAATGAAATTGAAACTAGAACAGAGTAATTTACAATCTATTATTTTGGCACCGACACGAGAAATCGCTTTTCAAATACAACAATGTTTCAACCAAGTTGGACGACATTTGTCTGGTAAAAATTAATTATAAATAACAAATAATTTTATTAGTTTACCACTTATTTAATATTCAAAAAAATAAATAAATTGTATAAAGTGCAGAGCTGTCAATGTTTTGTAAGGCCCCAGGGGACAATATATTTTTCGAGAACCTTTAAATATTAAACTTTATCAATAAAAATTCAATTTTTGTTTGTATCTCTATTGATTATTACCATTTTAAAAATGCACGGTTAAAAAAGGACATATTAATAAATTTATAACTTTTATAGTAAAAAAATAAATGTAATTCATAAAATTAAAATTAAAATAATTATCATTAAATATTGTTTAATGATTTCTTCCTAGCTTTTTCATTCACAAGTCTTCTATAACATTTTTATAATCTAAACTTAATAATAGTTCATGTTTGATATTCTTTAAAGATAAGTCGTTTAACCATTTCTGTCTCTTGGCACTTGCTCTTTAGTTAAATTTAACTTAGAAAATGTTTATTTCCTACTATAGTTGGTAATTGTCATTGATAAAGAAATTCTGGAAGATATTATTATGTTTGGTAATGTTTTTTTTATTATTTATTTGTTAAAAATGTTTTAATTCAGACATTTCAATTTCCAATAAATGTACAAATTTTTTATAATGAACTTTTATTTCTATTATTTATTACAATTTTTAACTAAGTTACTAATGTATATAACAGGGAAGTAAATTTCTATTTTGAATTTTTCTGTTCCAGACAATGATTCAAAATTAGTTATATATTTTAACAATAGTTAACACTCGCAATACTGTTAATATTATTAGTTTAAAATTTAAAATTCACTTTTTATCAATTAAGATTCATTATTTTTATGCAAAGTTAATTTTAATGTTTCGCTAAACATTTATCAAACAAAATGTTAAGAAAAAAAAAAAATGTGAAATGATTGTAGGTAATTTGAAAATAAATACATTTTTATGAATCTGAAAAATTTATAATTTAAAGGCATCGAGCTCATCTCTTAAAATGGCACTGATAAATTGTATTACAAAGATTGAAAAACCTAACAGTTTTACACTAATACCTATTATATTTGATTGAAAATATAAAAATTGAACATTTTTTATGTGCTCTTAGTAATATGTTACTAATTTAAATATAAATAAATAAACAATAACATGTATTTACTTCTACTTTTAATTGTTTTTAATAAAAAATTTAGAACTGAAATGTGAATATTTCATTGGTGGAACTTCAGTTGAATTAGATAAGGAAAAGGCGAACGGTTGTCAAATAGCCGTTGGTACCCCAGGTCGCATCAAACATATGCTCAATGATCACGTGCTAAATGGTTCAGAAGTAAAGACCTTTATAATTGATGAAGTCGATAGATTATTTACTGACGTCAAATTTTTAAAAGATGTTAGGTAATATATTAAATTCAATAAACAAAAGAAGTAGTAAACATTTGTCATAATCACATTTTTAAGAATATACTACTTAAATTTTTTTTTATATAATTGTAATATATAACATGCATTTATTATTCAATTTTTGTGGTCAAATATATTAATATAGTAGTTTTCGTGTAATTTTATATTTTACTACAAATTGTATCTTAACTTTTACATTATAATTAAATTAAATAGTATTAATTACTATTTTTATTTAATTCTATGAATTGAACTTTAGTAGTTAATATAATATGCATATATATATAATACAAAATTTTTTTTTCAGATGGATTGATGCTAAACTTCCAAAATTTAAACAAATTATTTTTGCCAGTGCCTCTCTTGATAAAGATACTGTTCACATTTTTGACGAGTTTATGAATGAGTATTCAGTGGTTTCTGGAACACCAGGGTCTATGAACGCCTCTGAAGATCCAGCTAAGTTCCTAATAGGTATTAAGCAGTATGTAGCATGTGTAAAAGCAGTCTCCACTAATATAATATTATTGCCTGCAAAAAATCTACGACTTCTAAATATCTTACAAAATATTTCATATACACAATGTATTGTATTCACCAATTACATGACTAGGTACAGTTATTGAAAACCTCATATTAAATATTATTAAAATACAACAATAATAATAGAGCTGTATAATTGACAATTCACGGCTCATGAAGCTTTTTTTATGGCCGATAAAACTCATTCTATGGCTTTTTTCTTACTTGACATACTTTATTAAACCATAATTGTTTAGTAAGTAAAAGGGAGAAAAAAAGTCTTGATAAAAAATAAAATAAAATATAGTCTGTATAAGTAATAGTTGATAATATTTGGTTCGTTATAATTTTTCAGAGCCCAAACAATTTGTAATATGTTACGTGATCACAACTATAAAGCGGATTATATAAGAGGAGATCAAGATCAACAGATTCGATTGAAACTAGTTGATAGATTAATGTCCTTTCAGTCAAAAATACTTGTTGCCACTGATTTGGTAGCTAGAGGAATAAATTCATCAAATGTAGACCTGGTGATCAATATGGATTGTCCAACCGATGCAGCTACTTATCTGCACAGAATTGGTCGAGCTGGACGATTTGGGAACAAAGGTTAGTATATTTATTGTTACATACCTAGTTAAAATGTATTTCAACTAAACATTTTTTTTAGCAAGTGCTGTTACTATATTGGATGATGGAAAAGAGTTGAAATCTTTCAAACAAATTATAAATAGTATTGAGTACATTAAAATAAAAACTATACCGATTGCAATTTCAAAACCTTTATATGAATACACAGACGAAGAGATTGAAATTCTTGATTTGACAACTGAACCTGATGAAATTCTAGAAAAAAGTAATAATAACTGAAGAAGCAAAATAGATAATAATAGAAATGATAAATTAACTTATTAATTTTTAAATAGTTATTAACAATTAAATTATTTTATTTCTGGTGCTATTCCAGGTGATTCTGAAACAGATGTCAACAATGTACCTCTTTGTGATAATATAGTCCTAACAACTGAATCTGATATTCCAAAAAAGTATCAAAATGAAAATAATGAAACAGATGAAACTTCTAATAACATAACTGATGAAAATAAAATAGAAATTCATGAAAAAAGTAAACTAAATTATTTTAAAATTTATACCAGGTGATCCATTTAAGTGGGTACATTCATTAACTCAGAAAGTTTTAACTTATTCCGGAATTTATTTTTTAGAAAATTTAAGGAACAAGCTGATCTACAATTTATATTTTTATTATTTCTTTGTTACCTTTATTTTTAGGGGTAAAATCACTATCTACTTTTGATTTTCAAATTTGACAACCTATATTAAAAATTACATAAATAGATGGTGTATTAGTTAAAATAAATTTTAGTGTTGACATTTTTTGATCTCCGTCAATCCATTGACGAAATATTCCAGTTTTAAGTTTAGATTAAAGGAGAGTAGTGGAGTTTTATTTGTGTGGCGGTACGGTTAGGTAACAATATGCCACTACTCTCCTCCAACCTAAACTTAATAGTGGAATATCTCATCAACGGTTATTTGTGGCATTTTTAATATAGGTTGCCATTTTAAAATCAACTATAAGTTGTGGTTTTACCATAGACCCTATATTAATAGACAAGCCTTTTGTACATGTAGAACGGCCATAGATAGAGGGCGCTCTTCACGTGTGACTTTACGTGGTATTATTGTACATTGTACTACACATACAATGACAACACTGATGTGATTATACTGCACACCTCTGTAATATATTTGACCAGTTACTACCTCAGCTACTATATAAGAAAGGCCAGTCTATTAATATAAGGTCTATGAGTTTTACACTCAAAATTAAGAGAGATAAAAAATAACATTAATATAAAATTCTAAAGATGCTTGTTTCTTAAATATTCTTAAAAACAAATTTCAATAAAAGTTAATACTTTCCGAGATAATGAGTGTATCTTTTTATATGGATCACCCAGTATTAACAATATTAATAATATTTTATATATTATTTGTGCAATTGCAGATAATTTTGAAGGAATGGCTACTGTCTCTGAAACAAATTTCAACGAAAAACCTCTTAATGTTGATACATGTGAAGAAGAATCCTTAGACAATCTTCGCAAATTTGTTAAAGAAACAGAAAAGAAACTCATTGATGAAAACCAAATCAACCAAAAATTTTTAACTAAGGATAGAACATTTGTTTTATTCAACCCAGAAACTTATCTTGATGACACTACTCAATATGAAAATTATCAAGATGTAGTAAACATGGTTACAGATTTATTTGAATTGGATCCTCTTAAAAAAGAGGCTAATGAAATTGAAAACTCTGTTCCTAATAAACAAAATGAGAGTTTAAAAAAAAATACTCACGATAGCACTGATAAAAAAATTAGCGAAACAAATGATATTTCAAATGAATCAAATAGTTCTAATTTCACTGATATTGAAAGTGATTCAAGTATTATTGAAACACCACGGAATACCAATGTTATTGATTTATTCAATTTACACGACTTTAAGGTTTTATTACCTCAAAACTCTGATGAATGTAGCCAAAAACATAAAAAAAACTGTGCAGAAGAAGTATTTAATGTAAATGGAAAGAAAGACGAACAAGAAAACTTGTTAGAAGAATATAAAGAAGAATTTGATACTAAAATAGACGAAAGTTCTGATGAAGATATTGAAAGTAAACAGTATAATGAAGATAGTGAAAGTGAGAATTATGATGAAGATAGTGAAAGTGAAAATTCGGATGAAGATAATGTAAGTGGATATAGTGAATATAGGAATGAAATTATTGAATGTGAACATTTAGATGAAGATAGTGAAAGTGAAAATTATGATGAAGATAGTGAAAGTGAAAATTCAGATGAAGATAATGTAAGTGGATATAGTGAATATAGGAATGAAGTTATTGAATGTGAAAATTTAAATAAAGGCAATGAAAGGAAACATTTTAATGAACATCTCAAATATGAACATTTTAATGAAGATATTGAAAATAAAAATTTCAATGAAGGTATTAAAAAACAAAACAAAAATTCATTTAGATCGATAAAAATATTGAATTGCAATAGCACAGAAATAAATAGTATCGCACCACAGTTGGCTGTAAATGAAATTGAAAACAATGAATCACAATATATGGATTATAATATTTTAAATGACTGGTATAATCAATGGAAACAGCAAATGAATTTCATACAAACATGTGTGAAGTTGAGCAGATAAGTGTACTAAAATTTATTCTAATGAGCTGAAGTGAATTTAGTTTCTAGTTTAAATTTTAACTCTGTAATATTTATTGAATTATTTTTTTTAAATTCATTTAAGTAATAATAATTTTTTTACAATAAAACACATTTTATTTTATAAATTTTTACGATAAACATTTATCAGTCGTAATAATAGTATTAAATAAAAATATATTAGCGGTATTATATAATATCACGATAAGTTTTTTGTATACATTAAAATATAAAGACCTAATCTTCTTGATCTATTTGAGATCACAAATTTCCAATTTTTGTTAATTTTTACAATGTAGCAATAAAATTAACAACACAAGTAGCACCTAATAGGTATACAGTGTAATCGAATAACACATAATAAAGGGGATGTACTTAAAAAATATATATTTTAGTAAAATAATATTATGGACGTAATGGTGAATGATGGATATTGTCATCTGATTGGCGGCACCGCTGCGGCTGATTTTATCGAACTGTTCATTTGTTCACTGGCAAACTTGTAAAGTTTTTCTCTATTCTTGTATATGATGTTGGCGAACTGATCTACGTTGCCATATGTCTCAAAACGGGTGTTGGTGCACATACAGGCCTTGGATTCGGGTAGTTTTGGGTCGCAGTCGACCGGATGGTAAACGTGTACCAAGTCGGGATCGGCAGCGCGGAATACGATCGCTGGACGTGTGCGGACGAACTTGTCGAATAGGTCTACGTCCTCGTTACCCCATCCCCGGATTGTGGTGTTGAATCCACCCGTAGCGGTTAGGTCGGACTTGTACACGCTGACGATGCCGAATCCGAATTGCCTCCAGTATCCGGTGTCCTGGTTGACTAGGAAGTGGTTGGGCGACGTGGGCCGACCGTAAACGACCACCGGGTCGTACTCGCTGTATACTATGGGGAAGTACGCGGACCGGCCGCGCACCGTGTTCAGCCGGACGCGTTCGATTAGCGCTGTTGTCCATAGCATGTCCACGTCGACGAACAGCAGCAGGTCGTCGGGCGGCGGGCCGACCCGATCGGCGCCCGCGTGCAGCGCCAAGGCCCGGGCGAACGGGTCCCCGAGGTCTGGCAGCACGGTGATACTGGCACCCGGGTATTTGGCCATCAGCCCGGCCGCGACAGCCACAGCCCGGTCGACGGTTGCCCGGCCGAACGGCACCACGGTAAGCGTAACGCGCTCGTCGTTGGCCAGGCACACCGACTCGTAATTACCCATAAACCGGTCGAACGTAGCCAACCGGTTGAATAGCGGCAATATAAAGTGCACCGTCTTTAACCGCACCCGGTCCGGCAACCGTTTCGCCGGCGATCCCACCGGTACCGGTTGCCCGTCCACCCGGAGCATACCGTTGTCCGCCATGTCCTTGTACGGCCCGGTCCCGTCGTCTTCGGCCGCCGCTATCTCGTACGCCTCGTCGGGTCGTTTCCACTCGAGTTCCGATCCGTCCAACACTTCGCGCACTTCAAAACCTGTAGTAAAGTCATTAAGACATTATCAAATATCCAAGTTCGCGAGCACCTATGCAAGTATATTTTATAAACATTCTAATGTAGTTGCCCTGAGGCCCAAGGCGTTAGGATTTAAGGGCATCACGTTCGCCGGAAATATTTGATTACATTACTATTATTTGACAAAGCAATAATTTTATTTATAGATTCGGAACTCCGTCATTATTGTTTATAATCAGTACAATGTTGCAGAATAAAAATTATGTCGTAATCTTAGATTTCTTGACAACTTAAATATTGTTGACAATAATATTCAAACAATGAGAATAATCACTAAACGTGCCTGAACTATTGGATTTTAGACGAGAATGATATTTTTTCGCAATTAAATATTCATTATAGAATTGAAATAATTAAGTTCAATGATTAGACGAAGCAATGAAATAGTAAAGGTACCTACAACAGGTGTAATGATATAATCATTAACCTTTGGAATACAATTACTAGACTACTAGAGCATAGTATCATAGTTTATACTTAAGTTCCTACAAGAAAATATGTATAAACTAAACAATTTCTATTAGAAATTATGTTACACAAATGTGTAGGCATGCCTACCTGTACCATTCGAGATATCTCAAACAGTCGAGGCTATAATTTCTTTTTTAGACTAATGATTCACTATCAAAACCTATCTGAATACGTACCTATACTCTCATACATCATTAACTAAATATATGAAATCGATAATAAATTATAAAAAAATATAGGTCAACTTTTAATTTAAAAAAAATAGCGATAGGTGATTGTTATATTTTACCGACTGTAGAAAACAAAATCATTTACATTTAGACCTATAAATTCATTTAATAATAACGTATAATACCTAATGGTTACCTACCTGCCTAATATTAAAGTGAATCATCTTCATTTTTTTTTTTTTTTTTTTTTATTATGACGTCCGATACCTAACTAAAAAGACAGTACGGTTGAATAAATGATAAAAATTGCTCTGAAATTCATAGAACGTGATTGATCCTTTTATAATAAGTGATGACTGGTATAAAAACCCGTGATGTGTTTGTTTTTTATGGACATGATAAAAAATTTAAAAAAAAAAGAAAACTAACAATTTAAAATCGAGTCATTCGTTGCATAAGCACATAATACGACAAAATGGTATAAGTTCGAATTGCACTTGGATTTAAAAAAAAGATGTTTCAACAAAAAAAAAAATTGAATTTAAAAGTTTTAAAAGTAGTAGTTTCTCTTCCCATTTACAATTTAATCATTGGTGTAGTTAAAATGAGTATTTTTCAGAAAAATAGTCTTTTATTGACTTGAATGTAATTCGATCATTATGCGTTTTTGACCCGGATGCAGTTGGACAATTTTAATTTAGGCGTAAAGTGTAATTCGACCAGTTAGGTGCTCAAGTTGTTGAGGGGATTTGTGTTGAACCGCCCTCCTATTTTTTTTTTTTTCTGTAGCTATATATAAAGTTTAGAAGGTTTTAGCCCCCACCAACCCCTCCCTCATTGATAAATTCTGGATACGCCACTGAATTCGATTATCCCCACTATCCCAAAAGCCTACGCGTCTCTTACCGGTAAACTGCTGTTGGAGGTACGCGTGCCGCCGCACCGGTACGGTCATCTTCTTGCCCCGGTACTTCTTATACATGAGCAACATGTCCAACATGTAATCAACGCCGTAAACGGGGTTTATCCGGTGGTAACCATAGAATACTTCCTTGAAGTCGATCACCCGACCGCGTTGTTTGGAGAATTTGTTTATCAGATCCATCACCTGTAAACGACCAGACGCGTAATTATAATACATGATATTATGTTTTAACTTAATAAATTACTTTATTTGCGTACTTAACGTGTAAACTTCAAGTTTATGTTGTGTGTTTTAACTGTTTTAAGTTAAGTTACATTTTGTTCGAAAGGAAATATTTTCATAATTTTATATTTTTTTTCTTATCATCATTAGATTTATCAAATCTCCAATTCGAGTAAAATTCCGAGTAATATATTTTGTTTATATAGATATTCAGTAATCGCTTGATGCGCTTCAAGATAATGTGATGGGGTGTTTAATAGCCATGGGTTTTTTTTATTAGGTGTTTAAATCTGACCTATACAATGATTAGATTTTTTTGTGAAATGCTAACATTTCATTTTATATATCTAGCTATTGTTTGTATTAAATTGTGTCTCATATAAAGCTTTAAGGTTAAAAGAACCATTTATAAAATACATTCATCAACTCAAGGGTTTCCTACCCAAACTGTCTTAGTTATAACCATATTTTTTCTTCTTTTTATATCCTGATTTTGACTCGCAATGACGAAACGTATCGACCAGTCGTACGAAAGGGCCGGAGTCATTTGATCTGATTTTTTCAACAAAAATGTGAAATTTTAATTTAAATTTATTATTGTATACAGTTATTATTGAATGATGTTTATTTTTTTTTTTTTTGGAATTAACAGAATATTAAAAAAATGAATTAACTTTTATCTTAATTTTAACCTCGCGAGTCAAAATAGGTGTTAACTTACCCAGCCTTGAATAGGTGTAATTTATAATATTAATCTATTTTAGAGATTTTAATATACAACATACTTTAATAATAATTACAAGTACATCTAAACTGTTGTACTGAGTATTATATTGCACTAAACATTCCTTTTCTTTTTTTTTTTTTTGTTAGATTTCGAGCGTAGCGATGGAGCTATTGGTTTTACTAAGATGTTTATTTTTTTTTCTTT